CAGAGCAGCGTCAGCCCGGGCCTGGGCTCGGGGAGCAGGTAGCAAGGGCAGTCAGCACCTGCGACGTGCCCCAACGGGACTATGTGCACTTACCCCGGGACAAAACACAGCGTGGAGGATGCGAGGCAGGAGCCGCGGCTCCTCGGCTGGGAGTATGAGGACTGTTGCGCCATGCAGAGAGAGGAGGTAGCTGGGGCGGCCACGCTGCGTGGTGAGGCTTGTCGCAGCAACAGACCCAGGGCCAGGAGGCAGTACCCGGGCTGCCAGAGAGCAGACAGTGGCTGGGGGGGGTGCGGGAGAGGGGACGGCATCTCCGTGGACCGATGGAGCATGAATGGTGACTGTGGAGGTTTTTGGAAGGGAGATATCCAGTATGTGGACTGCAGGAGAGCAGACAATGCTTGGGAAGGCAAAAGCCAGGATACAGAGGGTAGAAACTACAGAGTGTATGAGAGGGAGGGTGTTCAATACAGAGACTGCAATTCTGAGAGAAGAGAAGGGCGGTACAGAGAGGACAGAGTACCTGGGCAGTACAGGGAGGGGGCAAGGCGGTGTGGAGAGGATAGAGGCCCTGGAGACCATAGGGAGGGGGGAAGGTGGCATTGGGAGGACAGAGCTCCTAGGAACTACAGTGAGGATGAAAGATATTATGGGGAAAAGGAGAGGTGGTATAGGCAGGAGAGGGACTCTGGGGAGTATAGGGAGGGGAGAAGGCAGTGTAGAGAGGATAGAGGCAACGAAGTATATAGGAAAGGGGAAAAGTGGCGTAGAGAGGATGGAGGCTCTGGCGCATACAGACAGCAGGAAAGGCAGTATATAGGTGTCAGGGACCAAGCAGACAAGGAATACAGGCAGCCCAAAGGCCATGCTATGGACCGCAGCAGTCTGGATGGAGGTTGTGAAGCTCCTACATTTGCAGTCTGGTCCTCAGGAGATGGTAGCGTGAGCCTGGGGTCAGGCACCTGCTATACACAGTCCAAGATGCAGGACACAGACTACGACAGCAGTGGGGAGCTGGAAGGAGCAGCCCCGGGGCCGCGGATGCCAGCCAGGAGCAGTGGTGGAGCAGAGCACTCAAGGGTGCGCACGGGCCGGCCGGACTGGAGCCATGTCTGGGAGCAGAACGCCGAGGAAGCAAACAGGGTGGGCTCTGTGCTGCAGCGAAACAGCTTCTACAGACGGACGGCTCCCAGCGCCCTGCGGCACTCGGAGTTTGTGCAGACCAGGAAGAAGCGAGGTACGTGGGGAAATGCCGGGTATTGCCTTGGGTGTACCTTTGCTCTGCCCTGGCACCGGGGCAGCACCGGAACTCTGGCACAGGTGGGTGGCCGGCACAGCCAGGCTCTCATGGGAAACTGTGGAGCTTGTTGAAGTGGGCGTCATCATCGTTACCCCTCTGTACAGTCACCTACATGTACTGCAAGGGCTCTTGCCCCCATTTCACAGATGCCCAAGTGGGAGGAAAGCCAGACAGCACAGACCCACGGCTCACTGCTGTCCTTTCCTTTGCTCCTCCATGTGTGCCCCGAGTGTTTTGGGTGCACCCCAAAAACTGTGGCCCTGATTTGTCTGCTCTCTCAGCGCCCCAAGGAGGTTCCTCATGGGGGAAAGTGTGAGGCGCTGGGGTTATTTCCACTGCCTGTTTTATAACTCATTGTGAGTGGATTCTGTGTATAGGACCCAATTCCTGGCCCTGCAGAGGGCGAGTATGGCAGCTGTTCACAGGCAGCACAAAGCAGGAGGTGGGGGAAGTTGTTGTTGTAGCACTTGGATGGACATGGAGGAGAAGTACTTGCAGTTGCGTGATTACACATGGGCAGGACACTGAGGCATGTGTGTGCTGGGGGCTGTCGCAGATGAGAATGGTACCTCCTGCATCACCAGTCCCTCAGTACTGCGGTGCTCCCTTGCCTGTGCTACAGCAGTTGCGTGCCCTGTGTGCTGAGTCCCCAAGCCGTCTCTGGGTCTCCAGCCCCATCAGCCGGCACCCTGGAGCTGGAGATATACCGAAGCTGGTGGGCTCAGGCTGTCTGGACATGGGCAGAATCATCCTATTGATGCCATGGCTGGGACAGAGTCAGCTGCAGACAGTTTTGTGGGGCTTGGCTCGTTGCAAGGATGATGGTATGTGCTGGGGAAGGGGCAGCAAGGTGGTAGGGTCTTGGCAGGGGGAGTGAAGTAGCACTTCTTGGTGGATTGGCCTCCCCACTGGGCAGCCATGTGCCTGAAAACCTGGTTGTTCCTGCACCGTTTCTGCCAACATCTGTCTTGGGAACATGTGTGAACTCTCCATGAAGGGGGGTTGAA